AAAAAAAAAAAAAAAAAAAAAAAAAAAAAAAAAAAAAAAAAAAAGAAGAAGAAGAAAAAAGATACGAAACTTTCTCCGCGTTCTATCAGCTTTTTTGGTTTGTCGGTTTCATTTTATTCATTTTTTTGGTGACAATGACGATGATTGTAAGATTGATAGTAAGAATAAACGAATATTTACACTGGACACGTCATGAATGTACAAAACACATTTTCACGAGTTCTTATAGCATAAGCATAGCATAACAATTTTAGGGAGAAAAGATTAACATACCATTGGTCAGATGTGTGACGTCGCTTTCTAGGTACAAGACGACTGCTGGGATAGCTGGTAAAGTAGGTTTGCTTCTGACAAGCCTTTGAACTCTTGTGCGAGCTTCCTGTACAGATATAGGAAATTACAATATCCTCAACAGTTACACACAATGTGATCTAAAGATTTCTAGTTGGCAATTTAGAAACAAGAATAAAAGTCAAAGTAGTGGAAAATAGTCTGTATTCAAACAAGGTGTATTAACTACAGTTGATTGGTTCAACCTGATTTTATCTTCTCAAAAATGTAGGAACAAGAACAAGTGTAATAGAAAAGATTCTGCATACTTGCATGTGCAGCGCGAATGAAAAGGCACCGGGCTATAGCTTTTCACAGTACGGGATTCAAGATATCCTTTTAACCCGAATCAACGTACAGCTTAGGATACGGGATTGCTCGGAGTCTACACCACGGTACACGGTAAGTCCTTATTGACGTGAGTTTTCAAAGTCACACAAAATCTGTTCAATCAAGAGGCTGTCTAAGTTCTGTACCTGTCTTCCTGAACGCGTTTGAAGATCTTTGGAATCGACTAAGATGATTATAGCAGACGTTCCTTGGAGCTGTCGTCTATCGATCAGTTCTGTTACATCAGTGTTTGATGGAACACCAAAATATGCCTGAATACGATTGAAAAAGATCAACGTTTGTCATTTGATTGTTCAGACATCATAAGTGTAGGTCGCACTGCACAATTTGGATTTTTTTACGCAATGGTCTGTAACGATCCGTAGTTCTTATTATTATAAAATCATCCGCAGCACTAATAAATAAATAATGATAATAACAATGCAACGTCAATCAAGTCCAATCATGTTCAAGTTTGCCAGACTTACTAATCTTGAGATGCTTTATCAAATGACAAATGTTTTCCCTAATCAAATTGAAATTAAAAACTCGTCCCAGTCTCTTGCTCGTTTCAAAAGTGACCAATTGAAAAAACTCTTTGAAGATATGGGCTTCCAACTAAAATATCATGATCATCACCATCAACATTATCATCAAATTCCCTACTTTATTATCAAAAATAAAATCGCTTTAGCAGCAGCAGCATCACCATTATCAGCATCATTTTAATCATGATCACTCTTTCAATTACGATAATTATCATCATCACCATAATTTTAATAATTATCATCGTCACCATAATTATAATAATTATCATCATCTATATAATTATAATAACTATCATCGTCACCATAATTATAATAATTATCATCATCTACATAATTATAATAATTACCAGCATCACCATAATTATAATAATTATCATCATCTACATAATTATAATAATTATCATCATCTACATAATTATAATAATTATCATCGTCACCATAATTATAATAATTATCATCATCTACATAATTATACTTCCCAAGCGCAACTATCCACATCGTTACTCACCAAAGTACAAACTCGACATCGTGTTTTGACAGACCATCGGTTCTGAGTCTCTGAACTGTACAACGATAACAGCTCAACCTATTTGGTTAAAAAAGTTTTTTTATTATGCAACAGGCCGTTTGCATGATGACGTCATTTTACTACAGCTACCAAAATGCTTCGCGCAATTGTTTTTCTTATGCAAATTCATATTTCCTCTTGAGAATAGTAAGACAATTAGGGTTAATTAACTGAACAAAAGAAAATGTGCAAGGGTTTCTGGTGGTGAAAGTGAATGAAGCTATAATGCAAGTGACCTGTGTACTCTACCCTAAAATAAGCGCGAAAATGAATAAAAACCATTCAGTCTCAAGTTCATAGACACTAACCTTTGAAGCAACCCTGTCGTTGTCAGGAAGAGATCCTTTCCTAAACTTCTCTTTTATCAACGATGGATTTACATGGATTTGTCGGGTGCGAATGTTTGAACGATTGACAGGGAAACAGGGGCCTGGGAACGATAACAGAAGCTTCCAGTCCACTGATGAGCCCGTACTGAAAGAATTAGCGAGTAGTAGAGGCATGTCTACTGGACGAAGAGTTTCAGTCCTATAACAGATGAAAACACACCAAAAGAATGAGACGTATATTATGTTTTATCATACTAAGAAAACGAATCCCCGCGCCCCATCACCAGCACTTTTTGATGCTATTTTTAGAATCTTTGATGCTATTTTTAGAATTATTCATTTGATCGTTTGTTTTACCGCACGCGCGTACTGCGTGCGCTCTATACTGTTTGCTCATGTTTTCTTGTGATTTCCTTTAAAAAAAACGTGAGCAAACAGCATAGAGAAAACTAACGATAGCAAATGTGATTCTAAGATAGCATCAAGCGGTGCCTATAAATAAATAAATAAATAAATAATAATAATAATGAAAAAAAAAGCAACATGAATAGTAAAAATATTAATATATGCATATTATTAAATAAATAAAACACCCACTTTAAAAAAATGTAAGAGGAGGTGGTAGGCAAAAAAAACAAAAACGTATATAAGAAATATAAGGAAAAGAGACAGAAAATGTTATGTATAGCTTTTTGTGTATATCTATATATTGTAAAGTGGCACGTCTTTGTTTTAATAAAGTATTTATTATAAAACATAAAATAAAAAAATCAAGCGGTGCCTATGATGGTCACAAGCATGAACACCAGAGATTCTTCTCTTAGTTCACTTTTCTCTTGGTTCGATATGACAAGCGTCTAATGTGCCAAGGAGATTTAGTCCGGGTAAAAACGTCATGTAAGGTAATGAATCTATTCATAACAGGAAATGTATTTGATGTATGTATATGAGTCTTTGTAACACATATGACGAATCATGCGACTAGTGCTTCCATTTGCACCATCACGTGATAGCAGCCATGACAGGAGGCAGGAACAATTGAATCTATATCCCCAGATTCTGTAATACAACCCCAACTCCCTTGTTTCCTTTAGATCTAATGTTAAAACGTAATTATGTCGTAAATATTATAATCTATAATTAGCACTTAGTAAATTAATTACATTTATCTATTTATCTTCATCAAAGACAATATTTTTTGTAACGTAGTACACTTTGTAACCTGTATTTTATATATTTAATTTCTGAATAGGGTATGTAAAGTATTGAAACTTTGTGAAATACGCAATAAATTATTATTATCAATTGTTATTAATTATTATATTCTATGGCTGGTAAAACTCTATGGATATGACATAATTGTGGGTGCACTAGGGTTTATTTCTACTGACCTGATTTGTTCTAGTTCAGCTTGTCTTCTCGATAGACATTCAGAAACATTAAATTCATCACCAAAAATTCTGTATGAAAATGGAAATTTTAATTTCAAAAAATTGTAAAGTAGCTTCTGTATTGTATTAGGCATTATATGGTATTACGGGAAGTTGAGGTGCGTTTAGTAGTAGATTTGTAGGGTTACAACAGGGGCGGATCTAGGGTATGGGTGCGGAGGAACGCACGCCCCCTCCCCCCTGATGAACTGATAACTACATTATTGGTGTTTGGGTTTGTAATCAAAGGGTGCACTCCCTCCTAGAACGAAAATCCTGGATGGTCCATCCCCCCTAGAAAAAATTCTGGACCTGCCCCTGTTCCATCATCGATGGCATCAGCACGCTGTGATTGGTTCAAAAGGATGTTGTCAGCTGCGTACCCTGTGCCACGGGGAAAGATTTCCTTTTTCTGTAATAAACCTTATTCGTGGTAAAGTAATGTTTTCTGGATCCCATTAGAGACCACATGTCATACCCTAGAGTATCATTTCTTTGTTTAACGATGGCTCATGACAAAAAACATGAATGTGGATACAAATTAAACAAAGAATGAATCTTATTTTCAAAGGGAATGAAAGCTGGCCTGAAAAGGGGAAACAATGCACTAACCACTACACTACAAAGACCAACCACGCTGTAAACGCAGCCGGAATATGAGATGTAGGGTACTCGTGAGGATCCCAGAGCGAGAGATACATGTGTGTTTTAGTGTTTTGTGGGTATTAGGAGTCGTTTTGGTTGCAGAAACCCTATAGATTATCCTACTCCCACTTCATGACCTTCGTGACATTACCTTATTGTTGGTAGTACTTTTGTCCTTGAGTCATTCAGAGGACCGACTAAACTGGTCAGCTGATCTTCTGCACTTGTGAATGGAGCATGCGCAGGAAACTCATTAAGAAGCTTTTTGAGTCGTACACGTGACTGATATAATTTCACCCACCTACATTGATGGAAAATACAATTTTAATACAATCACTGCTACTCCTATAAAAAACATGATGTGATGCAGGGAATGTGTAATAAATATCTCGAACCTCCACAGCTGATCTAAAATAGCGACGTAGAAATGACGTCATTGCAAAACTTAGGTGTCATGAAGCCAGCGAAAACTAAAACATGCCTGCCATTGCAATGAAAAATATATATTTCATTAATTATTGTGCCACTGTTTCAAATGCTTACTAGCAATGTTTTTTTTTTTTCATTTGGTGGCCTGGAAATCCATAATTTCAAGAAGAAAAGTGGCACTTAGGTTTGGCAAATTTTCTCGATTCCGATTGGGTAACATTTTTTCTCAGTTCAGCTGGCTTCGTTCCCCCTTTACATGGAAAATAGTCTGCATTCGTCCTTGTGTGAGCATAAAGGCATGAACTGGAAAAATAAGTCCTTAAGGCACTTACTTGTGAAAGTATCTTGCAGTCCTGTAGAGTCGAATACTCTGTCCAATCTGAGCGAGTGCGGTCTTTCTTCCTTCCTTCGCTTCTTTGTAACTGTCTTCTGCAATGCGTTCCACCTCATTTTGTAACGTCTCTTCCAGAAGACCTTGAGAAATTTCTTGTGTTGCAACCTCTTTGCATTTTGCAATCACCTTCTTCTGTTCCACACTAAAATGTATAACATGGTTGGCCATGAGCGTGCTTGTCACGGAGCAAACCCTTGTTGAAGACCTTGACAACATTTTGCCCACATTTTACTCACACACACTACTAAATTCAGTATTTTATGCACACGGATATCAAATTAAAAGCTGATTTTTACGGAGAGAGCAAAACTCGACTAGAACTGAGGAAACACCCTGCCTTGTGGCAAAGAAAATAACAAATAAAATAAAAAACACTTTCGCATGTGACATCTGCAAGGAACGCAGTTGCGAATATGGGAAAGTTTTAGTGCTACGCCATTCTTGTCACACTCAACAGTCATCTCTTTTTTTAAAGACAATTTAACGCGCAATACCCTCTGACCTAGAGATAGAACACTGTCGCATCGTTTATCTTGGCTCACATCTCTACGAACCTGTATTCATAAGCAGCCACTTGCAAACATTCCTGTGCCACTACATCATCAAGTAATTCTTCTGATACGGCAGCTGTTGATCTTTCCCTTATAGCTGCTTGCTCGGCTTTCATTCTAACAACAAGAGTTGAACACTTTTAACACGCGGTTCAGTGCTTTTGAGAAGAATCTAAACCAAAATTTCTAGTTTGATGTAAGAAGGCTGGTTCTTGGAATGAAATACCTCTGGCATACAGTATGGGAAAGGGTACCAAAGATGGGACAACAGGAAGTGTCTAAGTTTATTTATGTTGCTCGTAGAGTTACGTTATCGTTAATGTTGATGTTAACTAAGTTATTTCTGTTGCTTCTGTTGTTGTTGTTGTTGTTGTTGTCGCTGCTGCTTCTTATATAGGTTTTTTGCACCATCAAGTGCCCACGCCCATAATAACAGCTTGGGCTGCCTGTGGTTAGGTGACAGAACAATAAAATCCCTTTTGGGAATTTTTTTTTTTCCATGTAAAACGATTGCATTGTTCCTGCCATCTAACATGGCTGCCATCACGTGACAGTGCAAAACCTCTATTGCTGTTGTTATTGTTGTTATTGCTGGCCAAGTCTACAATACTGATGTATATACCGGCCAGTCTTGACTCACTCTACTGTTTACTTACAGCTGGATTCTTCGTTCATCTGCTATGGCACTCACTGCTGTCACTTGCATCAACTCCAAGACAACTTCTTCTTCCAACTCTGTCGCCAGTTGATCTGCTTTTTTCAAAAGGTCCTGCACCTATAGAATATTTAGAAACATAAATTGACGACTTTATTCTTCATGGGCCAATTTGCTACAAGATTTTTCCTACGGAGACATAAACCAGATCGCGTGACTGACAACAAAAAACGTTACGAAAGTTGAGTAGCGTGACCGTGACCAAGCCGTACTCTTGCAGTCTGATTAGGTGGGCAGCGAACTCGCGCTTTGGGAATGGCTCTACGGATTTCGCATCCTGACCACACCGTAATTTTACATACACACAGCACGGGTGGCGTAGCGGTAGAGTGCTCTCAACAATGCAACCCGGGTTCGAGTCCCGCCGTCGTGCAGTGTGCCCAGTGTCGTATGTGATTAAAGTTGCTTGCTGATTCTCTCCTGTGCTTCAAGGGTTTTTCTCCGGGTTCTCTGGTTTTCCTCCCTCCGCAAAAACAATTTCCAAATTACCTTCCTATAGACTTCCCCTGTTACATCCACCAGTATTTCATTGATCACTTCCAGAAACAAGCTTCTCGTTACTTCCTTTAGTTCCTGTTGACAAAACCAATCTTGATAAATCCAATTTAATTTACATTCACATCCTGCGTCTTCCTCTTACCAATCTTTAGTTTAACGGCTCATAATACTCAAAGAATGACACAAGGTCTGGAATGAAAAACTCATCCTCTCAAACTGAATGGTTCTTTTTAGTACGCCAGATGGCAGACCTTCTTAATATCGTTCTCTGCCTCAGTTACCAGCCGGACATTAAACCACAACTAGATTTAATTCAGTTCTATATAGGACATATAGTTCTGATAAAATGTGATTATTCGAACACTTGATAAGTATATTTTATTACCTCGACATTTATCTGGACGGCTGGTTTTGGAGGCTCAACAGGCTGAAAGCATAGAAAAACATAGGTCAACAATAAAGGAAATATGAGAAGAATGACGTGAAGAATTGAAAATGCCGAGTGGGTTAATAAAATTAATAGAAAAAAAAAGACGTTTTGGTCCAACACGGACTTTTCCGTGTTAACAAAAAATGTTTGCACGCGCAAAATTTGAAGCTAGCTATTTTAGCGTGCTTTGCCAGAGTTATGATGATTGTCCGATATACACCTATTTCAATGAGCGTTGTCATCGTCAAAGGCGATAGGCTATAGATAATAGGCGAGATTCGTTATTCCAAGATCCAAGAATAGCTGGAATGACTTGTGTTTCTTCTTCTTCTTCTCGTCAAGAACATGGACTTTAGTGTTGAGACTGATTCGATGTTCTTTGTATTCAACGAAACCATTTCCGTCTCGGATCGACTTAGGCGATGAAAACATTTTTTGAAATAGGTGTATATTGATGGATTGAATGCGATCGTTTCCATCTTGTTTTTTGTTTTTGTTTGTATGTTTGTTTGTTCATTTTTTCATTAGAATTCTTAACAGTTTAGGTATTCCTTTACCTCAGTATTGGAGACATCAGAGTTACTACTTAGAGTTAATACTTCGATAACTTGTAAGATGGCGAGCCAATACAATGAGTTTGACTTTGGAAACACGAAGGTGGTTGATAACTGAAGAGTCAACAGGGCGATTTTCATCGTTGTTTGTTTTTACAAGCATGGTATTCTGAGCTAGATGACACCTCATGAAACAGTTAAATCCAAATTCCATCAAACAATGATTTTAACTCTGGCAATGCGCGCGCTAAATGCTAGTTTTAAATTTTGCGCGTGCAACCGCTTTTCTTCGTGCTGAGGAAGGCTAGAAGTCCATAATGAAATAATGGGCCCGTTTTGAAGCCAAACCGCCCGTGTTTCTAATACGATTTTTTGTTAACTATTGACAACAAAATCTAATTCTGATACATTCTGGTTGCAAATTTCACATGCGTTAACGAGAGAAAGGTCCAATTAAATAAACGAACGAATGATTAAAGTGCCTATGTCATTATAGGCATTTGAGTTTGATTCTCATCATTTTTAAATTGCAGCACTGATTTCTATGAGAAAACAAATTTGCTATTTATTTTATATAAACCCTGAGTAAGACAATGATGTTATATACAGGATATTTTGCTGCTGCCCTAGAAAAGTTTTGTATATATAATCACGCCTATAATGATCTCAGTAGCATATTGGAAATATAAACCTTGATATCTCCAAGATGCATCACTCGAATCATATGAAATTCTTTTACCATTCAAATATTCACTTTGTGTAGAATCAATACAGAAAATATTAGGTGGTATAGGTGGTATAGGTGGCATAGGCACTTTAAAAAGAAGGGCAAACGATTGATTGTTTATATGACAACAAAAACAAAGAACTTCAACCTGAGTCACTTGTCTAAACTGTGAAAATCCTCTAGGTTCTTGCGTTTCTGTAAATCCCTTAAACTGGACCACAGGTTGTTGTTGCTCTATAATATTCTCTTTCTTCTCCATCTCTGCAGACACAACGTGAACTTCTCCCACATATCGACCATTCTCGTCAAAGCTTGATGTGGGATAATGGCTTGGTGGAGGAGGAAGAGGTCCATTGTAAACAACCTGGTCATGAAGAACAAAAATCACAGCAATGAAGATTAACCCCACCAAAAATAGTCATGATAAAAAGGTAAATTATACACTGTGAAAAGATGAAAAAACTTACTGACGAAACGTTTCATTAGAAACACCGACGCAGCTCATACTAGTTTTTAGCTAGTTATCTCTTCCCACCAAAAATAAGTAGCTTTAAATTATATAATATGTAGCATGAAACAAAAATGAATATCACAATTTCCCAGGATGCGATGCTATTTTATCTCATCATCTACGTTTCGCTTGCTACACAGTAACAGAGTAGATAGAATGTTTTGGAAAACTGATGAATGTCCTTCTAAATTGCCTTTCACTTTTCTTAAGGTGAATGGGTAAAGAGATTCTTCCAGTTTCTATTTCTTTTTTACCCACCTCTCCAATCAAACAGGACCTCTTGGATTCAATCAGTTTGTGAGCTCTGCTTGAAGGGAAAGAAGACTCTGGCTCAATAAAAGACCCTCGGGTGAACATCACGAATGATTCGTTCACTATCAGACCATGAAAACTGCAGAAGTCAGAGGCCTAAGATTCAACAGAAACAACAGATGTGAAACAATGATGTCAATGAGTTGTATCCCTTCTCTCTCCTCGACCTTCTTCCCCTCTTCTTCCTTCCTTCTCCCTTCTATCTTACTCCTCCTCACTCCCCCACCTCTCCTCTTTCTTCCCTTTATTACCTGGTCATTCCCTTCCCTCTCTTTTCCTTTTCCTCTTCTCATCACCTAGCCATTCCGATCCCTCTCCTCTCCTCTCCTTCTCCTCTATCCCATCCCATCCTCACCCCTTACCCTCGATTTCCTCCCCACCTCCCCTCTCTCCCATTTATCACCTGATCATTCCCTCTCCTATCCTCTTCTCCTCTATCCCATCCCATCTCTCCCCTTCCCTTCAATTGCCCTATTTCACTATGACGTCACTGCTTGTTTATGTGGGGGATAGAATCGCCAAATCCAATAGAAAATTCAACAAAATTTGCTCCTAGCGAAACAGTTTAATCTAAAATGGCCTGGTTTTCAGATATGATATGTGTTAATATGTACTAAAAAATATTCTGAGAGTTTGCTGGCTATTCTACTTCTCTTCGTGGATCGATACGGGTTTTAAAACAATTTTCGGTGAATTCGCGTTGATTTGACCCCCTCCGACGACCATAATCCTTTGCGTTTAAACAATAGATTGTTTTGATGTGACGTCATAGTGAAATAGGGCAATTCCCTCCCCACCTCTCCTCTCTCTTCCCCCTTATCACATGGTCATTCTTTCTTCTCTCCTTCTCCTCTATCCCATCCCATCCTATCTTCACCCCTTTCCTTCAATCCCCTCCCCACCTCTCCTCTCTCCTCCCTACATATTCACTAACCTGGTTATCCCCCTCAAACGCCAGAAGATTAGTCAGTTCATTCAGTGGGAAGGACATCTCTTTATTAGGAACACTCAGAGAATAATTCATGATACGAAGTGCTCGTTGACGAGCCTGCAAAAAAAAAAAAAAAAAAAGACTGCCTTATATACATGTTTGGGAAGCAATGTCTCAGTGCGATTAGATGTCTCAACAGCTTCAATGAGAGAACTCGCATACTGCTGTACAGAAGTGATATTTCTTTAATTGGTGTGTCCATTATTTTCCTCTGAGTATTTAGTGCAGCCACTGTTACCTACCAGGGCACGAAATTAACGTACGCAAACTCGCAAAATGTGGGTAAAATTTTGTATTTAGCGAGTGACAAAAAATTTAACTAGCTAAGTTTTGCGAGTATGACCACAGTCCAGAAATTGAAGGACTGAGAAGTTTAGAACCTGCGTCAAGTAACGTTCTTTATTTACCGCATCCGATCGCTAGTGACTTTGAAATTTTTGCTAGTGAAGACAAAACTTTCTAGCAAGGTTTTGCTAGCCCCCCCGGCACTTTGTAAGAATGGACAAATAATCTATTCTCTGTTAAATATTCTACTGACCTGATTGAAATACCGATGCAGAACAGAAGCGCAGAGATAACTGGAAGCCCTACAAGATGATAGAAGCCAATAAGTATATGTTGTTTGCAGGTTGTAGTAAAGAAGTAAAAGAATCCTGTTCCTGCATTAATTAAGACTTGTACTCAACATAATAAGAGAGAACCACATATATAGGGTACCCCTAGTGCTAAGGACAATTCTGTTTTTCCCAGGGGACAGCAATAATAAAGTTACCTCAAGCAGAAGGGTAAGCCAAGGCAAATGGAATGAGTTTTATAGCATTAACCTTTAAGTAGCCGTGTTATTTATCATTGGAAGCATGGGTAGCATAGCGGTGAGAAACTTGCCTCACCAATGAGACCCGGGTTTGATCCTCGAGGTAGAGCTGTTTGTTGGTTCTCTCCTGTGCTTTAAGGGTCTTTTCTCCGGGTTCACTAGATTTCCTACCTCCGCAAAAATCAACTTCAGAATTCCAATTCGAACTACAAAGGGCCAGGATGAAAATTACTGTGTGTAATTCTAGATACCCTACTAAATTGTGTAGCTATTTTTTTGTCTTTTATTTATTTAGTTACCTCACAAGTCTGAAGAACCTGACGAAGTTGTTACTGTTGAGAGCATGAAAAACATCCATAGCAAACTTGACCATGGATGACGAGCGCACTTCTTTCCGGTAAGTCATTACCTCCCTGAAATAAAAATGAGCAAGTGTCAACTCACATGCACCAGTTTCTCATTCGCCGATGCATACCGCCAGTGTTTAAGACCGCAGACTCATTTATACAGGTTTAGCCTCGTTTATAAGTAAACTAGTCACAGATACCATTACTGCGGTTTTTCATATTCTGTGAACTCAGACATTTTAACGCCTTGTTGTGAATAGACAGTTTTCTCTAGGTTGCGTGTGCATCCTAATTTAAGGAACTTGACGAGCCACGAAACCAGAACAGGAGTTTATAATGAGAACTATCATACATTTCTTTTTTTTTTCGATAAGAATTCATAAAATTGATTATTTACCGCAGTAAAAGTTTCAAAATATTTCAAAACATCATTCAACTTTCACATTCTTTACATTATATTACTGTTGACCTTAGCAAATAATTTACTCTTAAACAAGGCTTAACCTGCACAATTGATTCTATAGTCACAGAACACAGCGACATTTGCTGAATGAATATGGGGTTATTGCAGCAAAATTACAATATTTGTTGCCTTCAAAATGATTTTGCAAAGAGAAGAAGCTCTCTGTAGTTTTAGCAACAAAAAAATGTTCTTAATAAGAGTAAAAATTGCAAGTTGAACGAAATCATTGTGCGTCTTACTAACACATTTAGCTACAACTTCCTTGAGCTACTACGACTAAGTTCTAACAGTTCGAAGTACAGGTCCAAACATTTTCACACTGTGTTTAACATATAACAAGACTAACCTGAGGGTGTCTTCTTCATTTAGATTCAGTAGAATATCGTAACAACGAAACTCTGCTTCATTGGGACAGATAATTCCCTGGTAATGAAATAAATAGATCAACGAAAAAAGACAGACAGAGGTTTTTACAATGTATGTGTCATCCCTTGCTCTAGTATAATACCCCACAGGCAGCCCAAACAAAGTTCCTGTGTATTGTTTATAAGGGAATGTATTGGAGTTATGATAAAGTCATGACAATAAAATGGTTAACTCAACAATTTGCCTCAAAACTTGCTGCAGTTGTTGCTTTTACTTTGTTCAGTCTTCTGGCGAAGTTTCAGCGCGATTTGAGGCCGTTTAGTGGGTTTTTCAAAATCCGCTCTTCTCTACCTCAATAATTATTTAACTCCCATACATTCCCTTATAAACAATACACAGGAACCTTGTTTGGGCGGCCTGTGAATACCCTCGTGTAAAGCAGCTTAGTATTAGAGACCTTCAGCATCAGTTTTACCGCTAAGCACTAAAGATCAGGCCAAGCATCACGCCCGCAAACACGGAGAAACTAAACACGAGGCATCGATGAAATTCAATATGTTGGCTCTTCCTGCAACAACTTCGTTATGACGCCTTGCTAAATGCCGAAAGTTTGAAGGAAAACGCCTGACGTCGAACTGCAGTTTGAGGTTTGCGGTACCTAGCAAGAACGTCGTGCTAAAGGTCTCTATTTATTGAGAGAAAACGTGAAAGTTCGAGGTGGAAAGAGCTCACCTCGTTCTTGTAGAGATCATTGTAGAACTGCTTCAAAGTTTGAAGGCATTTGGTCAAGTTCTCGGTGTTGATGCGAGGATCAAAAACACCCAAGTCCTGATCACATAGATAGTGTGCACAGAATATATGGAACCTAGAAAAAAAGCCGAAGCAAAAACGATAATTGGTAATAAGCTGAATGAATGTCATGTGTCTTAATAATGATACTATGTGGCTCTAATGATACACCTAGTTCCAAGAAGTTTGTCATCTAAAAAAGGCAAATTATAATTAAATAAATTAGAAATAATTTGCAATGTAAACTTCATTCTTGCAGTTTCTGTTTTTCTTCCAATACTCAGTCGTATAATTAAGGCTCCCCTGAGCAATTCGAAAGGTCATATGAGACTAATATTTTGAATAAGAATTTTTTTCATTTTCATTCATATCAAGATAATTAATTCCTATTTGGTATTTTAGTATTTGGCTAATTTTTATTTGACATCATTCTTGCAAGTAGGTATAACTGACACCAGGGAAAAGCGTTTACGCATGCGTGCACTTCAGCACGTTTTCTAAGAATAGACCAGTTTCGAATTCCAAATTACCGCTGTGTTCCTTGATTACAGACTCATTTGCGCAGGGTTAGCCTCGTATCAGTGTTTAAATATTCACACATACCAACAGAAAAGTAAAGAATACACAACTTCAACAATACAAACACTTTGGAACTCAACGGACCTTGACTGCAACACGTGAATATGCAGCACAGGGCTAACCCTGTGCAAAAGAGTCGGTAATCAAGAAACACAGCGGTAATTTGGAATTCGAAACGGGTCTATTTTGAAGAGTTGAGTGAGAAAATAAATGTTTGTTTTCTCCAAGTATACAAAACAGCTCAAGAGTATACTTTTGTCAATTACCCTTAAGTTTCAAGCATGGACACTAAGTTTTGGCATTTTGTGAAGTCCAATTTATCAGGCATGTTAGAAAGTCAAATTTACATATGCTTTGAGTAATTTGCATACGGATTCAGAGCATGCGCAGACGTTTTTCACTCGTGTCGGTACATGTAGATACCGTAACTAAAGGATATAAGGATTATAGAGAGTTGAAACAAGTCACTGTGTGAAGTCATGCAAGAGCTGCAGGGAGCCCAATTTAGATAAAATGAAAGATGAAAATTAAAACAGGAAAAAATCAAATTTAATTTTATGATTTATTTTTTGTATTCCAGGTCAAGATATTATTCACCATAATGTAAGTATTTGCTGTTGTAGTTATTATACTTCTAGAACTTTTGCAAATTCACTTGAGTGGCCACAGAACGATGGTCCAAATCAAGGTTGCACTTGACGTGTTCATATATTTACTGTTCAAGTCCAACCTTGAGATAGAACCATTGTTTTGTGGTCACATAAGCAAGTCTATTGATGTTACCTTGCAGTCTTTTCAATTAAATCCACGGATCCTACATCACAAAGATGCTGCTGTGTGATGTCCTGCAAGAACAAAATGCATAAATCAACATAAAGGGGATGGTACCACACAATATATTGCCTTCCCACGAGTTGTCGTTCTGCAACTTATGTATTAGTGAAAGACCACTATTAGCAAAATGTGCCAGTTTGACCAGGTATATTCAGATTAGTAGGTCTTTACTAAAATGAGGAGACCTCTCACAATTGCGAGTCAATAGCATTTGGGTACATTTCATTTTGGGACCTTGTATGCAGCCAATTTGTTGTCAATCTCGAGCCCAGAGTCTTGCAGCTTTTGGTCAGCTGGCTGGTGCAGACCACAAATCAGGAAGGAACTGAAGGACTCTGGGTACAAGATTTATTTGTCAGTTTCAAAATGAGTAAGGGACTGGGTCCTAGTTCAATTAGCTAAATTTATCAAGGTTTGACAAAACATTCCCCATCAATATATAAAAGAACGACATACAACAAGCTTACTGACCAAGTTTCAGGAAGTTTTACTTTATGGCTGAAATAATGCTATGAACATTTAAAAGACTGCCGAAATATCAAAGAAATGTAAGGTGTCCAGGCAAACCGTCCAGCCACACATACGTTCTCTGTATTTTTAGAAATTTAAACAAAATCATAATTTCGTTTGAATTTGTTTAAACTTGATGAGATTTGCAATCCTTGCTATTTTTACATGCTCTTTGATATGATGAGGTCTGTTTATGAATTAAATCAAATTTAACAAATTCATTTTGAGTGCCCTCTTGTTTTACTGTCACTATACAGTACTATACAGCATACCAGGGACCACAAAATGGTATGGCTGGCAAGGACTTTGATTAAACTACAAAATGAATGTGTTTGGTGATAGCAATTGTACCTTCTACACAACATCCAACACAGCTTGCCTCTGTCATTCATGAAAAACTCTGTTGAATGCTGCATAACATCAATGTTCAGTGGCTGAACACACTAAGAACAAAACAACTAACCTTTCTTATAGCTCTAGTTCTATTCCAGAGAAAATCAAACCAATCACCCCATTGACCCTCCTTGCCGATGTCCATGATATTAGTGACCAGGTAGTCCATGGTCATTTTGAGTGTGGGTATTGGTCGCAACTCATGTGGTAATGGCTCTTCCTGGAAAATAATTGTGACATTGTGGTCATGACTAGTGTGGGTATTGGTCACAGCTCATGTGGTAATGGCTCTTCCTGGAGAAAATTTATTGCGGTCATGACTAGCATGGGTATGGACATTTATCACACGGAGGCCATGTTTATTCTTATGAGAATAAAAACCTTTTTTTCACCTGCATAAATTAATTCTCAAGCACTCAAAAGTGAGGCTATACATGTGGGAATATATTGTTCCAAACAACATGGCTGCAGTGTGGAAAAGGCCCAATGTTCTGTAATGGCTCTTCCTGGTAAATATCAGTTAGTTACTACTAGTGTTGGTACCAGTATTGGTCACTGTAGCCGATTCAAGAATATTACCTTATCAGCAGCAGATCTGTCATATTCTTTGATAGCCTTGGCATGGTCCACCTGTGGGTTATCCTCCTATAAAACATATTAATATACAACGGTAGGTGTAGTATACAGTGTACATCATGTAGCATACATATTGCCCACTTTAGTTTTTGTCGGCAAAGTAAGGCCCATGGTTATCAATCTTAGCTGCCCCTTTGGCTAGTTTTACAAGCCTAGTTTTCCTGAAACTCCCAACAGTTTTTCCTTTGGATATCAGATATCTCCTTAAGTCATACACACTGTAATTTGCAAATGAATAATCTTCCATTTCTTCTGACTTTACACTTGTTGATGATTGTTGATTTGATTTTTGTCCTAACTTTCGCTTGAACCAATCACAAAGCAACATTTACACACAATTTGTATGCAAATTAGCCGTCTTTTTGTAAGAAAACGTGGATTATCACTGGTGTACATGATAGTGTGGTGTGTGGCATGGCATATTGCAAGATAAGGCAAGGAAAGAAAAGAAAAGGGAAGGGGAAATGATACAGGTCTTTGACTGCCGACTTACCAGGCTTGAGCCAGTACCAGGTATAGTTTCATAAACATGAAGCCTGCGACGATCTTCTCTCATGTACCTTTCCTTTTAAATTAAGTACATATTAAACAAAAAAAACATATAAAACTTAACAACACAAATCTTGCTAGATCCAAAAATATTTACAGTGTACCAAAGATAAAAATTCATAATTCCCAAAGGGAGCAATCTTGACTAAATGAAACTCCCCTCCTATTTCCAGAAAATTTCCTGGACTTGAAAAACCTGATTTTAGTGTCATAAAGATTTGGTTATAAAAACTAATTGGGGAGACAAAAAATGCATACTTTACATACTGTATACTGCAGCAAGCTTGCCCTTTCCCCACAGTTTGGAAATCATAATTTCTCTGCGTAGGGAAGGTATTGGTACATTTTGGAAGTTAAACCTTTTTTTACATTGTTCTTTAGCCAGAAAGTCTTAATTTCTTATAAATTCAAATCTACTTCCCCATCCCATAGGATATAATACAGATATATTCTAGAGGTAAATTGCACCCTTCAGACCAACTTCAACCCTCGGATATGTCAATTGGTGACCCTCAATCGTAAAGGAGATATAGCTAGGGACATGATCATTCTGGACGCAGTGCAGTACATGAATAGTCTTTATACCTTTTCTGGACACATATCCGGGCAGGTTCCCTGGACAGCCTTTGCCGTTGTGATGTCAGATGCTTTGGTTACTCCTGATGTTTAGAACAATACTGTAATTAATAATTTATAACTTTGGACTTATTTTTCATAAATTGCTGGCTTCAGGATGACTTGAAAGCATAAAATATTCAGTGTTTCAATAACAACCACTCATTGTTTACATTATAATGCGAAAGGATACATAGGAGGTTAACCCTATCAAGAATACTGTATCTCCTAAGATTAGAATTGGAATTTAGATGATTTTTGTTGAGGGAGGAAAACTGGAGAATGAGGAGAAAAACCCCCAAAGCACAGGAGAAAACCAACCAACAACTCTGCTCATGACATTGAGCCTAGCAGGACTTGAACCCAGAATGCATTAGTGGGAGGATTAGGCATTAGCAGCGCAAACCATCTACAGTACCCTTTCCGTAAATGAATCTGCCAGGAAACAGTAATTATACTGTAAGTGCTTTTTCAAAAATATCTCTGAATTTAATCAGGAATTTTTATTGAAATACAAATACGTGATAGGTAACCTTGTTCACAAAATAAAAATACTGACATTAATAAGCTCTTTTTCTTTTTCTTACAGTGTTCATATCCAGTGCAACACAGTATGGAAATATCTTAACTCAAACCTTACTATCAAGGAATTCAATCTATTTTTGTACATAACTTTACCTTCTCTCAACTTTGCATCAATCATTTCCAGTACTTTGAATCTCTCCCCTGTTGACATTGCTGTTGGAAGAGAATGGGGATCTGCAAATTGAACAATATTGCCTATAAGCTCTTTTAATGTTTCATTTGTTTCATTGACAAGATGAAAGCAGTCTTTTTACTGAAGATTTCAACAATCAAGCAAAAGGAAAGGTTACAAAATTGCATGGTTTGTGGGCTTGATTGGAAAGACATTGCAACAGTTCTTTCCCTTCTAAAGCAAGTTTTTTTAAAACTTAAAATTCATGTGTGCTGTTTCTCTTTTTTAAGTTGCTAAAACATTTGTATAAAACTTTCTTAGAGGTAAAAAGAATGTTTTTGCTGGGACCTTTTAGTTGTAAGTTAAAGTGCCTATGACCCATAACTCAATATTTTCAGCATTGATCCTACATGAAGTGAATAGTCGAATGGTGAAATATTATTATATGATTTGAGTGATGCATCTTGGAGATATCAAGGTTTATACTTCCAGTATGCTAATGAGTGTATATGCTGTTTATAAAATGTAAAGCGCATTGAGACATTTGAAATGCGCTATAGGAATACCCTATTATTATTATTATTATTAATTAACAGTCATATAACCAAAAGGCAGAGAATGCATGAAATGATAACCAAAAGCTATATTTAATATATATTTGACATTTTCTTACCAAGTGCATGGTGTTCCATGGCTCCTCCTTTGAATACCTAACAAAAATGCATAGAGGTAAATACTAAGCTCATGAAAACTCAGAAAAGGAACAGAATCAAAACCTCCTTAACCCGACAAAACATTCTCAGTTTGAATAAATTTGTAACATTATTATTTTTTCAATCTTTAAATTATCTACATGTAAGCCTAAGCTACAACCAGTAAATAAAATAATGAGACCCTTGATCTTAATTTAATGTAAAAAACCCCCTCCACGTAATCAATGTTGTTTCACATGACAATAACGACCTCCTCGGCTCGGGCGTAATGTTTTCCCATTTCAGACCATGTGTCATTTCTTTGTTTAATGACGGCGCACAAGAAAACACACAAATATTGATACAACTCAGACAAAGAATCTTATTCTTAAGGGAATGACACATGGTCTGAAATGGGAAAACATTACCCCTAAGCCAAGGAGATCTATTGGTGGTACATGAGCATTCGTCTATTCAACATTGCTAAGTGGGAGGGGGGTGGGGGGTCCAGGAACACCACCATATAACAAATACAGTTTAACCACGTAGCTATTTTAAAGTTCTCTTACTTTTTCTCTTTCCTGGACATTTGTCTTCACTGGTAACTCTGATAAATCTGTTACAACAAAAGGGATATTTATCATGATAAACAATTACAAAAACAAAATGATAGGAGGCAGAAGTACTGTAAGACTGTTAGTGGAGACTGCTGAAAATATCAATATTTGACCCTGTCCAGACAGCTCCACATTTAGTATGACCCATTAACATTTAAAAAATCTTTATCAAAGTCTGAATTTTTCTTTTAAGTTTAAAACAAATATTTTTATTGGTATAAATTTGTGCCATTACATTACTATATGTTTATAATGTATATGATGTAAATTAAAAGCATGACGCATACTGAAAATCAAATAAACTATTCCATCCCCTTCAGGCAGCTCCACTGCCTATGATACCCAGTGCACAGTATATGATATGGCCAAACAAAAAAATAAGTGTGCTTCCTGTTGCGCGACCGACCCTAATTTTCTTGCCAATAATTGTCAACCCTAATATTTTTTCCACTCCCAAATGCACCACAGGGTTCCCAGTAAGCTCATTTCCACTGAAAACAAAAAATACTTTGTTGTATCAGTAAAAAAAAAATCTGGCCTACCGACCCCAATTATTTTTCTCATGCAACAGGAAACACACTTATTTTTTTTGTTTGGTTTAACCACACAGATATGCAGAGCCTGTGTCCTGACCCTGTCCATATTCCATGTTCCATGTGCATGAAGCTTGAAAACCTTAATCTGGCTTGTACCATATGGATCACATTGTAATAGCATACTACTTTTCATTACATTACCTTGTGAGCTACTTGTAGTTCTTTTTCTTTCTTGCTTCCAGAAAATACTCACAGGATTCAGATCTTTTCTGAGGATCTTTCCCTTTAGTTTGGCAAGCTTTGCAGCTTCCTTTACACAGAAACAAAATAAATAAACAAATAAATAAAAAATACACACTGAAAGCATAGCTTTTCATTGTGGAATTGAAACTGTAGTTCTAGTAAATATTGATGATATTCAGGGTTCAAAATAATGTTTCAGAAAATGCTGAAATTTTGGCAGGTTTTGAGGTGTGGCTCATTTTTTTGGCCGACAACTTTCAAGGAAAACTGCTTTTAAACTGCTGATAATGTGACTGAATGGTCTACTGGTAAGAATGTTGTTGAAGTGAAGAGTAGGGAGGGATTTTTGTTTTTGGTTAGAAAATTGCCGACAAAGGTGATAAAATTGCCGTCTAAAGCTGGCAGCCATATGCAGCTTCTATTTTGAACCCTGATATTTAATCTCATGTTTGTCCCATAAAATATAGCCTTAGGGAGTTCTTTTTTGACTTTATTTCTTAAGAGAAATAAAGTTTAATCTGATCCCTACCCTAGAAAATTCTAGTGTCATCCTTGAGAACAGGTACATATAATTAATATACTTACATGTGTTTTGAATGTCACAGTCGCACTCTTTTTTTGAGGATTACATAACACTTTCATGACCTCACCAAATCTAGAATAAAATCTCTTCAACCAAGCATTCTTGTTAAATATTTCTGGTATTTCTCTGATGACCAGAGCTTTCAATCCTGAAATATCACTACCTGTCTTTTCATCTGGTGATTTTCCACTTCTTTTAGGTGGAAAAGTGATATTTTCACTCAAAGTACTTTCAACTTGTCCAGGAGCTTTTCCAAACACATTTGTTGTCACAGAAAATTTTTGGGCTGGTTTCATCGGAAGTGTTGCTGTTTCATTAGCTTTGGCAAAATTGAAGCCTGAACTGCCAAATTTAGACTCAAAGACAACACTTGTTTGTTGGGATGATGTTGATATGGGTGTTACAGGAAAGCCTATCGAAGAGGTAGACTTTAAAGACTTTGTTGATGGTAATGAAGAATACGAAAAACCTGTTGTAGAGGTATTTATTGGAGGGGTACTAAAAGGTAATGTAGTCTGCGGCTTATTACCAAAGCCTAAGGTTGAGAATAAAGGTGATGTTGTTGTAATTGCAACTCTCTGGTTGTTTTCTGTACTTGTGGTGGCTGCTTGAAACAGGTTTTTATGTTTATCTGGAGCAAATGAAAACATTGTTGAAGTCTGGGAGCCAGCATTTGCTTCTTCAGAGTTACCTCCACCAGAAATGGGAGCAAAACTAAACAAGGCTGGATTTCTTGTTGCTTGCAAACCGCTGGTATCACTGAAGCCAACAGATCCCACTGGACCATGCTGTGTATTTGCCTGAAATCTTCTTTGTGCATCCTTTGGCATTGTACTAGTTTGTCCAAATAACCTCTCTTTCTTGGGTGGATTCGCAGAATCATCAAAGGGTCTTTTCCCAAAAACAATCTCTTTGCTGGTCGTACCCATTCTTACAGGCTTATTTATTAATGTCCTTTCTTCACTCGTATGGCGACGTGATGCATTTTGAGACAAACGACGAACTGCTTCTCGTCTCTGTTGGTATAAAATAGATGTAAATTCATTATGATGATATGAATCAGAAGTCAAAATTATCTTAGGAAACCTTGATACTGACAGAATAGAGGTGATGTATTATACTGTATATATATATTTCTCATTCTCAGGGGTATACATATATGCCATTTTAGTTGTCCTTAACAAAAGATTTACCCTTGATTTGCTTTGATTATTTTTCAAGCAACCCAACATAGCAGCCATCAATGCTTTCAATATTTCATTCTCATATACAGCTGTAATAGGATGCTACCAGTAGTAATGTAATGTATGTCACCCTCATTAAATAAAGTTAATTGATTTATTCATATGGGTCAACTACATTTATCTAAAAACCTCCAATCCAAATTTTTTGCCATCAACACTACAGAACGAACTTGTAATAAATAAATGCTAAGTAAGAAGTAAGAACTCGAATATTCCAAAATGTAGCTTATTCAGTTGCGGGAAGCCTGTACTTTTATTAATAAATAGATTGAATTGTTTTAACTGCGTCCACACCAACATATACAAGATACATGTATGCCTACAATAATCCGTCACGGTGATCCATGCACCTATCAATATATTAGCCTGTCATTCTATTATTTCTATGGAAGGTTATAATATCAGTAGTAATATTTCCGGGTCAGTGTCAACTTTTATCATGCCTACTGTATGAACGAAAGTCATAAATCCGAATTTAAAATACTAATTTGAATTCAAAACATCAAACCACACTATACCTTCTTTTGTCTTAATTGACTTAGCATCATACGACGAATAAAAAGAACTTGAAGAAAAGAGATATTTTTGTAGTCAAAATTAATGTTTTCTAATTTTTCATTCTTCTTCAAATGTTCAAAATGGCGCCTTGAAATATTCGAAACAAAGGAATATACTTCATGTGGGGTTACATATAATGTCTCCAAAGAACAACCGCTGACACATATCGCACAGGGATCTCCACAGGCAACCCAAACAAGGTTCCTGCATATTTAAAAAAAATTAAATTTGCAATTTGTCGTAAAATTTGCTGCAATCTTTGTATTTCTAATTTTCTGGTGAAGTTTCATTGGCATTTCAGACCGCTAATAAGTGTTTCCCACACCACCCCCAAATCCACGATTCTCTAATACGCATGCGTACTTGCAAGCCCACTCTTTAAAGTTGCATTGTTCGGTAAATAACAAATCTAAACGAAGAAAATAAAAAAGGAATTTTCTAATATCGTTCTCTTTTTCTTGAATGTTCCATAAAGATGAGATGACCCTGGCCTTTGTCAAATAAAACAACCAATCTGTTCAGGGAGAGGTCAAGGCGCCAAAAATACATAACTTTCATCCCATCCCACACGGCTTACCGCCTCATCTCTGATCTAACTTTCAACAGATTCATGGTGCTGACTCCCCCCTCTTCCCCAATTAGCGTTGCTATAATGTCCCACAAGCTCAACAATGAATTAGCTAGAACATCTCAGAATTAAAAACTCTGATAGCGGAAAATTGAATATGATAATTCGTTTCGATTATTTACGGTGATCATCATCATGTTTATCGATTTCAACCAGTCCTGTACAACTAAAGTAGATTGCCTCGTAATCCTTCTAGTCCTCTCTAAAACAGATATTGCATGTGTAGTTGTTTGTGGGACAAGATTTTAATTCCACTGGGACAGCGGCCGCAACGGTGATTGGTTCGCTATTCTCTGAGTCGGAACGATGAATTCAAACAACAACAACAACAACAACAAAAAAGCCTCGAATTTTATTCATGCACGAAAAATGTTTTTTCATATCCGGCTGTTTTTCATTGTTTTCAAATATTTTCGCCACTTGCGCTACGTCTTTGTTGGCAACCTATATCTTTCTTGGAATGCAGTTTACTAGTATAATTCAAACAAAGATTCAAACTATTTTTTCAAAACTTATTCTATTTTTAGTTCTGATATATCAATAATGAAATTGAACAAGAATTTTGCGTTTTTTCCCGACTCATCTCAGGGACTGAAATATCGACAAAAAATTTGAATATACTTAATAAGTAATGACATTATTAACGTAGGGAGTTGAGACAATCAGTGACAGCTAGAGTCTCACTGATCCTAATTTTGTGCTACGAAATACAACAGCTTTTTCCGTACTCTGTTCAGTAGTACAGAACGCAGAAAGTGACGAAGGCCCGAAAAAAGTCAGTGAGATGAAGTGTTGTATTATTAAACGGAAAACGAAAAACAGTTCGGTCCTTTTTGTTTATTACCACATGAGTATATAGCAAGAAAAAAAATATACGTTAACAACTGAAAATATTTGAGATATATAGCGCGCGCTGATTGGGTGGTTGGCGTGCTTGTATTAGAGGACAGAGACGCGCTCGCGCAAAGTCGTACAAAAATATTTTATAAAAGCAATATAAACACTCTTGGAACACTCTAAAAGCAAGAGCAACGCCCGGCTACGCTACGTGTTCCGCCGTGCACATATATCACTGAACAGAGCACGAAACAACTGTTGTAGATTTCAATGCTTTTTTTAATACTTCTTTGCAAAGTTACTGCGCACGCGTGGATGGCGTCAGCAGCCGTACTCCGTTCCTCACTAATAAAGCACATTTTTCGACCAATCATAGCGCACTTTTATCTAAGCTATATAATAAAGACAGCATCGTTCTCTGATATCAGTTGGTTCACAACCAATAAGAGCAACTGTATGAAAAGCAAGACTAGAAGCTTCTCATAGCTGGGTTTCAACATCATACATATGAACCAGCTGTATGAGGCATATAGAAAGGTCTTTGTTTCGTTGTGGCCGGATTGTAGTTTCGCTAACTCTATGATCACACGATGGACGTGAAATAGGTAGGAAATATAGCTCAAGTGAAAAGATTCTCTCTCTGTAATCTAGTTTGCTATAAATATGAACACGATGAAAGGATTCAACAAACTTGTTCTCTGTTTGATGATACAGGTAAGTCTTTGGAAAGGAAAGTTTATTTATTCTGTTAGTAAGTTATCTGTTCTATTAAATGGTCTCAAATGTGAAGGCCTTTATTAAACATAAATAATTAATGACCTTAGAACAATACAAAATCACTACCGTGAAGGCATCTGTAAACCCTGATACAGAATTCGTCCTGATTTCATAAGGTTGACTTTGAAATATCTCGGCCAAATTACATTTAGGCCCCGTCCACACGTATCCGGAAATTTTTGTATCCGCAAAATATTTTTTGCGGATACGAAAATGTTTCCACACGCAGCGTATTTGAATCGTTTTCACCTTCCACACATATCCGTTTTCGTAAAATTTGCGGATACGGATACAAAAATTCGCGGACACGTGTGAACACAACCCGTATCCGTAAAAAAAAATTGCGGATACGAAAATTTGCGGATACGTGTGGACCGGGCCTTAATGTTAAAATTTTTACTCTAAAAAGAAGCATCAATTTAGACATTTTAAAAGCAATATACAATATTTGCGTGAGATCTGTATGAGGCTTAAAACAGCTCGCTGTTTTAAATCCTCATCCCGCTCATATTGTATATGTTACATAAATACTTTAGCCTTAAACTTATACAGGAATGTACTTATCGCTCGGCTGATTTTTGATTGGTCTTTTTGATCAACGAAATTCTAGTATACTCTGTCTTTGAAAAGTAATAAACTTTCGTACTCATCAATCTCTGGCAAAGAAAGTCTCATGAAAACTATCAATGATAAAAACTCCCTGATTGATTAAAAATTAAACATTAGAACTTTATTGAGAAAACGACTTGGCCGAGTACCTCCTGTCTTGTGCAACGTGTTTGTCGTAGTTTTTGTTACTGTTTTTTATAATATACAGTCAAAAATTCACGTAAGCAAACCACGCTGTCGAGTCCTTAGAGTGAAAAAGTTTTTTTTCCTTCCAGTTGTCTTCTGTGCTTGCCATCGCATCTTTGAATTGTACGTTAACAGAAACCACTAATGCTGGACCACATTATCCTGGGTAAGAACTCTTCATAAATTTGCTCCGGATTAAAATGTCAAAGAACAACTGAACTGAAGTTGTGTTGTTATTCTAGAAGTCAACAGGTGTACAGATCTAAGACCATATTTATGCATTTGAAAACATGAATTTTGTCGTGGTCGTTTTATTTTGAAATAAATTATTCTCTTGTGGAAAGAATAAATCAAAATAAAAAACGTTTCTAGTATTCTCTTGACGAAGATTTTATATAATATCTAAATATATATAGGACTAAAACTTTTTCAAACATTTATTTAGGTGCAAGTCAGTTTACGTTTCAACTTAATTAAGGGCTTCAATTATTCATTGAGACCTACTATGTTTTGATATATGAAAAGTTTGACATTTCTAGTTTGGTTTGAAAGCTAGCAGAACTGATAATTTTAATTTCCCCTGCTTTTGAAATTAATGTTTTTATTTTCTTAAACCTCTTAGAAATTCTTCAGTTCTGTCATTGCTTTGCGTTCATGGCAAGACATCAAACCAAACCGCCAAAGACTTGACTGTGACCATCTATTTACCACGAGTCCTTGTTTATAAAACGTATGCGTCATCCAAGTCTCCAAGTAACTTTGTGAACTCCACCGCTCTTACAATTGAGGTAAACATAAGCTGTTGTATGCATTTTTTTACAATGATTTATGATAGTATGCTTCTTCACAATAGTGATTATTCAAGAAGACCCTATAAAAAGACTAAATGATATTCTATAACAAAATTGAGTTCATGGAAAATTTCAAGACGATAAGTATCGGAACAAATTGATAAATTCATGATTACGGAAAGAACATTCAAATTTTGAATTACAGACAGTGAAAATAAGATTTAAACTGGAAAATCTTAGAGTACCGCTTAATATCATCATTCCCGATTCCCAGTCTTTAATAGATTCATAAGATATCCTGTGTTTTCGGAAACTCGCTTTCATTTCTTTTATAAAGAATTTAATATTAGTGTGTTTCATGGGTAGCACAGGCAGTTACGTAAAGCTAAAACGGCCTAAGTATGTCACTGCGAATCTTGCCGGAGGTCCAACAGGTCCAAGTCGTTGTTCAGACCTAAAGAATTTATTTGCTGTGTTGTTCAGTCTCTCTTGCCGCAAGGGTTTTTGCAATATCTCATAAATAGTGACGTCATTGCCCCGACATACGGGATACTCAACCTCATATAAAGTAGTACAATGGCTGACAACCATGTGCTTCATGTTGTATTGAATAAAGCTTTTTTCTGACTCGAAGTTACAACAGTTTTCCCAGTAAGTCTAGGTTTTCTTCCTCTGTAAAAATCGAAATGCGAAGTGAAAGTTGTGGGCATTGAATATTGGACATGGTGTGTGTGTGAATGAATTGTGTTATTCGGTTATGTACCAATCCTCCTCCCCTGTGGACGGTAGGTTTCATTGATGGCCATCAGATTTGAAGAATTTCGGACTACCTTACTGATTCGTACAATCTGTTGCTTGAAAGAGAAGGAATTTGCGAGAGAGTTTCTTTGTGAGCAGTTGATAAGTTTTGTATTTATGCACTAACAATCTGTTGCTTGGAGAGAAGGAATTTGTGAGAGAGTTCTTGTCAGCAGGTGATAAGTTTTGTTTTTATGCACTAACAAGCAGTTGCTTGGAAAGAAGGAATTTGCGAGGGTTTGTTTGTAAGCAGGTGATAAGGCCAAGGCCAAACAAAGGTCACTCAGATTTCGGCACAAACACGATAAACACGCCCACGTCTCTTAGCTCTGGAGTATTCGTAGCTCGTTTCTTGTGAACCCCTAAATCACATCGTCCCTCCCCCCGGTAAAAAAATGAAAGGTTGCTTATTTTTCGTTTTCCAAGTAAAATCAATAAAGCGTAAAATGTCGGCCAGAGTTTTTCAAGAACAAAAGTAGGCCTGTGGGTTGGCTGGTGGTGGGTTTTGTACACTTAACAAAATGCCCTAAGCGAGAGAGTAGTGAGTAGCCTCCTCTGCAAGCAGCACTCCAATCTCGTCATGACGCAGAGCCGACGTTCCTCTTCTTGTCAGCACACATAAATGAGAGGGTCTGGCTGATTTGTTAACATTCTATGCTGCATTCATGAGGTTTAAACCTCATTGAGGCCAATATGATTTTACCACCGACTTTTTTAGTTTGGTCCACGGTCGGCCATTTGTTCTACGGCCTGCTAGTCTCCATCCGTTGCTAACCATTTGTCAGTTTGCTCAACGTTTTGCTTTGTTTTCAGTTCCAAAGTCTTGAAGCGTCAGAGAAAATAGATGTTAACTTAACAGTGGATATCGACCCGTTCCGCATATCCAGACAAGGGTATCTGTACAAGGTTGTGATTCCATATGAAGTAGCGTACAGAACAAACTCGTCGACATGTAAGGAAAAGACTACAACTGTCGCTCAAGCTGCTTTGACTTTTTATTCGCCAAGTACGTACATCATTTTGCTATGCCATGCCATGTCATGCCATGCCATGTCATGCCATGCCATGCCATGTCATGCCATGCCATGCCATGCCATGCTATGCTA